GCTTTTTCTGCGGCCCGTGCACTAAGAATAGATTTTACATTTTCAAACTCTTAAAAATGTCAAAGTGGGATATTTCATGAAACAAGATACTTATTATAATATGAGTTTAATATTTCTGCGTCTATGAAGCTTCATTTATAGGAAGAAACATACGTTTTTTCGAACATATTGTCTATGGATGATTACGCACTCCAACGGCTGACCTTGAGTTGAGGAGTTGCGAGAATTGTCATGTGTGGTGCTCCTATAGCTTCCCATTCACACGTTCCTTCGTGGCCCCAGCTGTGATGACACGCAGTGTTACGAATGCCACGTGTATAACTGTTCTGTGTCATTTTAATACCAGTGGATATCCATCGTGTCGCTGTCGAAACCACAAAAGAAGAGAATAGTGGACTTGGAATGTCGTGCTTTTAAGGCAGAGTGGAGTGAGAATTATTTTGTTACTGAATTAGATGGCAAAGCATTGTGTTTATTGTGCAGTGATACTATAGCTGTACTAAAAGAGTACAATATACGTCGGCATTACCAGACTAAGCATTCGGCACAGTATTCCCAACTCACAGGGAAGGAACGATCACAAAAATTAGAAACTTTGAAACGGAGTATTTCATTACAAAGCAGTTTCTTCACGAAAATGAAAAATGAAAATAAGGCTGCAAGTAAAGTAAGTCTACGAGTAGCTCATTTGTTAGCCAAGGAAGGAAAACCCTTTACTGATGGTCAGTTAATTAAATCATGTTTGATTGTAGCAGTTGAAGAAATGTGTCCAGAGAAAATGGATTTATTTAATAATATCAGCCTTTCCACGAGAACAGTTGCCCGAAGAGTTGAGGACATTGGTAGCAACATCACTAACCAATTAATTAACAAGGCAAATTATTTTGAGTGGTTTTCCTTAGCTCTTGATGAGTCAACACACATTACAGATACTGCTCAATTGCTGCTGTTTATTCGAGGAGTCAATGCTGACTTTGAAGTCACTGAAGAATTAGCTTCTGAAGTGGAATCAGCTAAAATGTGTGACAACTGATGGTGGTAAAAATATGTCTGGAACAGGTAAAGGCTTAGTTGGAAGCATTTACACAGCTTGTGAAAATGCAAGGTGTACAAGGCCTATGGTTATTCATTGTATCATTCACCAGCATGTACTTTGTGGCAAATATCTTAATCTGTCGTGTGTTTTAGAACCAGTCGTGTCAACGGTGAACTTCATTCGTTCTCGTGGGCTGAACCATCGTCAGTTCCATGATTTTCTGTCAGAAGTGGAAGCCGAATATCCTGACTTACCCTACCACACAGCAGTTCGATGGCTCAGCAGTGGTAAAGTTTTATTAAGATTTTTTGAACTCAGAGCAGAGATTGAAATTTTTCTCAATGAGAAAAAACGCCCTCAACCACTATTATCAAACACTGAATGACTTTGGAAATTAGCTTTTGCTGCTGATATCATGGGATTTCTTAATGGATTCAACTTGAAGCTACAAAGCAAAACAGTGCTAATATGTGAAACTTATACTGCGGTAAAATCATTTCGACGACAACTGGTTTTGATTGAGTCACAAATCATGTCAAGCTGTTTCGTGCATTTCCCATGCTGTCAAACATTAAAAGAAGTGGATTCCCCATTCCTGCACGAATTTGCAGGTGATATATTTTCTGAGCTCAAAAAACAGTTCCAGCAACGTTAAATCCATTTAACTGTACAATTGAGGAACTTCCACCTAACCTTCAATTGGAAGTGATTAATCTGCAGTGTGATAACATGCTAAAAGGCAAATTCCAAGAGAACAATCTAACAGAATTCTATGTGTCTTCCAAGTGATGAATATGGTGAATTAAGATCATATGCTCGAGGTTTGATCTCTGTATTTGGTAGTACTTACCTGTGTGAAAAGACATTTTCAAAGATGAAATATGTAAAATCTCAATACAGGTCAGCATTAACAGACGAACATTTGCAATCAATTATGATGATAGGGAGTACTAACTTTGACCCCCAATTTGAAGAAATGTTATCTCAAAAAAAAAAAACAATTTCATTCATCCCATTAGTAGCCTAAAGCTGTGTTTCAAACAATGATTGTAGTTCCTTTTGTATTTTTATTATGTTACATTTTCACCAGTAAATTTGTGAAAACTTGCTTTTTAACCTGTTATTTTAATTGTACCGACCTTTAAAGATCCTCGAGTTTGCCTCTTGGCCCTCAGAGTGTAATGTATTTTATATTTGGCCCTTTACGAAAAATCTTTGCCGACCCCTGTTCTAAAGCAATGACAATAAGGTATTCCCTTGGATCACTGAGAACAGGAAATGTACCCAACACTTACCTATATGTACTTTACTATAGGTTTCATTTCAACACCTTTAATTAGCCTAACTAGTTCCACATGAACATCAAACTCTATAAGAATGTTCTACAATACTTACCTTCAAACAGAATCACAGCCTTTCTCCAAGTCTAGAGCTAATTAATATACTACCCCACTGTATTCCCAAATTTTCTCCAGTATCTGACAAATGCAAGATATCAGATCAGTAGTTGATCAATTATGTTTAAATCCACATTGATGATTCTGAACAATTTCATTTACATGTCGAGTTAACCTTGATAGAAGAATGATGGGATAAATTCATGTGCATAGTTGATTATGGTGATGTATCTCAACAGTTAGTACAGTCAGTTTTATCACCATTCTTGTAAACTGGTATAATAATAGACTCCTTCCACTGCTTAGGCAATTCTACCTTATTCCAAATAGAATTAATGAGTTTATGGAAATTAGAACATAATCCTCATTTACTAAAAACCTCAATTTCATATAAGAAAAGCCACTAAATACTTTTTACAGTATTATATTTAAGCATCCTGTTGCACTTTATACGATATGATATAACTCCGTCCTAAGTNACTAAATTCAGCGGAATGAGTCTTATATCCCAGGGGTACACGGGTGTTGGCTCGCTTACGTCGCTTTTTTGATGCGGGCTCGATCGGTTAACCCCCTAGCACAGGTTCCACAGGAACACCCTCACTACCTGGCTTCTACTCCCTCACTCCCCGGCTTCCACTCACTAACTAACTCCGTACCCCCGCTGCTGCTTCCAGAAACCACGTTCTTAGCCATCTCGAACTTTCCACTGGGGGGGGGCTTCCATGACCAAATGCCTGGACCCCTTCCGGTCTGCACACCTTTTAGAAGTTTCTCGAAGCTTCGATCCACAGGTCCTCCACCCCCACAGGCACGGACGAAAGAAGGTATACCTACTCCCCCTTGAATGCAATGGACTCACCAACCTCCCTTCTGTCCCTCGCAACAAAAGGCCAATTCAGAGGACCATGATCCCTCCGAGGCATCTCATTTCTACAGCTAAACTTAACCGTTACTTACAAACAAATAAGACTTTCTGTGAAGGATGCGTACGGTTACAGTGTATAGAGAGGAACAAAACGAAAGACCTGTAAATATAGTTTGCACTTAGGACGGAGTTATATCATATATCACTAAATACTTATATAAAGAAACTATTTTATCATAATTAATATGCAATATGATTTATAAGACGAGGAATTTCTTGATGCAATTTTACAGAATCATCATTTATTGAAAAGCTATGTCCCAAGATTCATTAAATAAGATTTTTTATGTAACATCTATGTATTAAGGCCATTGATAATGCAACAATCATTACAACATTCACCATTCAACACCAACACCACATGTTTCAGCCACAGACAGCCATCCTCAATGCATCTAAACCGTTACACTGCTTCAATGCGCACTAAAATTGGGAGTTGCTGTTTTTGCTTTTTTCTGCATAACGTTTGGACTTGTGTTTGTGTTCTCTGAGCTGCTTCATTCTTTATTCATATTTTCAAGTATGCGTATTTTGGTACGAGTCTTTTCTTCAAACAAGTTTTGTTAAAATTTATATTAGCATTACAGTGTAACAGTTTTCTCTTACAATTCATGTAGCTGTATATGCCTTTAGTGTGACTACTATTTGCATCAAAGCAATGTAACAGTTTAGTCGCACTGAGGACGGCCGTCTGTGGCCAAAACATGTCGTGTTGGTGTTGAATGGTGATGCTGAAATACAGAATTTTTCATGTAAATTTACTTATTGCAAAGGACTCACTTCCATTTTCAGATGCACTCTTGCTACCATAGTCACTGGAACTACTGAATCTGCTATCACCACCTTTGGATACTGTTTCTAACAGACCTCAATTTGCATCAATAATGTCAATTTTTAATGCAGAGCTTCATGGTATTTTCAGTCATGGAGAAGCTTGAGTTGAGTTACAAGGATTGTCAGTTTCATCAGATATGATTTCTACACTCAAAAAAAAATTGGGATAAAAACTAAAATTATGCACAAATAACCTGAATCTCATTCCAAGTCTCACTGAAGTGAGAAGAAATTAAATTGCAGGACAATTCAAACAAAGACAGAGACTATGACACACATGACAGTCATCAGCACCCAAAGCAAGAGCTGCATAATACACATGTCCTATGGTTCTGTTAATACCACAAAGAGCTATCATATGCAACTCAACAAAAATGTGCTGCTTGCTCACTTATGGGAAGTTAATGGGGATTTTCAGAAACTATAAATACCTGAGTGAAGCATGCTGAGACACTGTAGGTAAGTAGATTTTGTGGCTAGCTGACCTTATGTATGCTATATATAGGTATTCAAATAAAAATATTTTGCAAAACTACCAATTTCTAATGGTTTGACACTTAAAAATATGGCATCACACATGATATAGTGGGACCACAAACGATTAAGACCTCCTGGCATCTTCCAAGCTAAGTAAAGACCCATAACATGCTGCAAGAGGACCAAGATTTTGGAAATTAAAATCACAAAACCCAGTTCAGCAAGTAGAATCAGTGTAACAATTTGGAAAACCAAACTATATAACTGAAGTACAGAACTTCTGGGGAATGTCAGTAAGACACTCTAATCATGAATGTCAACCACTCACCGTCCAGTAGTTCATCCACGGCTGTGCGGACTCCCTTATCAAAAGCTCGGGCATCCGCTGCTGTCTGGAACGTCAGACCAAACTTCTTGTCCCCAGTTTTCCAGTGATGGAATGTGGGCATCACCTTATTGTACTCAAAGTCCTTTTTAATAGTACAACTCAGCACAACCTGAAAAACATGTAAGCAGAATATGGTCCAAAGTGCAAGCTAAGGTACATGGCTCAAAACAGTATAAATTCACAAAGGAAAATGTTTGGAAGCAAGAAGATATGAGTGAGGAGACAGGACCAGGACTCACTACATACACTCATTGCTATACAGGCAAACCTTACTTAATTTCTCATGGAGGTGAGCCCTTCTTGAGGAGCCGCCAATTCTGCAGCTACTCAAGAATTTCCCAGCATTTTATGGAACCTGAACTTTCACTACCATGTTCACAAGAGTCCTCTGCTGGTCTATATCCTGAGCCAGATCAATCCAATCCATATCATCACATCCTATCTCTCTAAGATCCAGTTTAATATTATCCACCCACCTACACCTTGGTCTTCCCAGCAGTCTCTTTCCTTCTGGCTTTCCCACCAATATCCTATATGCATTCCTCTTCTTCCCTATTCATGCTACATACCCTGCCCACCTCTCCTCCTTGACTTGATCATTCCAATTATACTTGGAGAAGAGTACAAGTTATGAATCTCTTCATTATGAAGTTTTCTCCAACCTCCTGTCATTTCATCTCTCTTTGGTACAAATTTTCTCAACACCCTGTTCTCAAACACCCTCAGTCTGCGTTCCTCCCTTAATGTCAGAGACAAAGTTTCACACCCATACAGAACCACAGGTAACATTATAGTTCTGTATATTCTAATTGTTACATTTTTAGACAGCAGATGAGAAGATGAAAGGTTCTGAACTGAATGGTAGCAAGCATTATCTGAATTCTGACTCCTCTTAATTTCCTCATGAATCAAATTTTGATTCATTAATGTCATTCCCAAATATCTGAACTTTGCCGCAGTTTCAAAAAAATCTGCTAACTATCTTTATGTCATGATTTGGTTCTGCAACCTCGGGATGAGACAGCAACATATACTTAGTTTTCTGGGTGTTTACTTCTAGATCAACCTCCTTACTTGTGTCAATTAAAGTTTGTGTTTTTCTTTATGGTATCTATATTATCACCCAGTAGATTCACATCATCGGCAGGGCTAGGATCAGGCACTAACGGCTCAGCTGTATGGATTTCTGTCTGCCTAACAGCACTGACCCTATGTCCATTCAATGACTGAGAGAAGTAGTTCCTCCACCTATTCAAAATGAGGGAATCTGCAAGCAGATCACCATTCTCATCCTTCACTAAGTTACTGCTAGGTTGGTAGCCCCTCTTAAAGTCATTTATTCCTATATACAGGTCTCTAATATTCCTGTTCTCACTGTTCATTGCAAACTCATCAATTTTGTCTTTCTGATATTCCCTCTTTTTGTTCCTGAAATGCCTGATGGTTTCACGTCTTATATTGTTCAGATTATCCCCATTTATTTTCTTTGGATCCTGTAACCATTGTAATCTGGCTTGTTTTCTTTGGTCTAATAATTTTGAGCATCCTCATCGAACCATGGCTTATGCTTCTTCCATTCATAATAACCTAGACTCTCCTTGGAAAAAATTTTTATATTCTCTCTAATCGTTTCCCAAGCTTTATTAACACTGTTGATGACAAAGTGATTCTTCTTCACATATCCATTCTCTTGGCACAACACTGCCTCACCTTTCTTCAGGGCTTCAGCTTTCAGCTGTTGGGCCTCTAGCTCTATTTGCACCACACTCCTGGTGTGTTCAAATAGTAGTTCTGTATTGGCAACACTTTTACAATAGTAATCCTGCCAAGGTCAAGAATGATGGACCTATACCTCCACTCCCCCATAAGTCTTCATAGTGTAGTGCTTAATTAACTAAGCACAGGAATAACAAGAAAAATTGTTAACTCACAGTTTTTGTAGAAAAATGAGGGTTTTCAGCAGGGGGTCTGTAGATCAATAATCTTTCAAGTGGGCCTACCATATTTAACCCATCTGAATAATTATACCCTTTTTTGTGTGTACTGGTGTTATATCAGCCCATTTCAAACCTTCTGAAGATGTTTCATTACTATCTTTAATTCAGTGGTGGTAAGGATCACTTTCCACACTCAATAATTCAAAGTCTGGACCCAATGTGAGACCCGTCACTTGACCTCTATTTTCTGGGGCCTGTGGTGTCACTTGTTAATCCAAGACCACTTAGAAACTGTTTGGGGGAATATGTCTCATTCTAGTCTCACACACTGCACATTTCAGGATCACTTATGTCCATGTCACTTTCATTATCTCATTCATTTATTTTAGATTTATGTATTTCCATCAGCCCTAAAAATATCACCATCATTGGAATCACTATCACCAGCTTCAGAACACACATATAAACCAGCCCCCCTTCAATTTTACTTGTATAATCTGGTAAGTTTTCACTAAAGCACCACTATATTTTTGCCAATGGGTTTCTACCATAGCATCCTTGTGAAAAATATTTGACATGTGAAATATGCATTACCATAAACATCACAGTGAGATGAAAGACAGCAAAGCCTACCAAACTGTATATAATGTAGAGCTAAATAACAGATTCTATGATAAGATGTCACAATATTACAGCATAAATAAGACAATCTTTGCCATCCATCTGCAACCACTAACAGAAAAAAGATCAGAATTCTTGTCAACCAAACACAAGGTGTTGTTGCATTCCGTACATTATACTGTTTCATATGAAGTGGAGTTGGGATAGCTGATTTGGTATAGTGACAGGCTACAAGCTGGACAGCCTGGATTTGATTCCTGGCAGTGTAAGCTATTTCTCTTTTCCACAGCATTCAGACTGGGGCTCACCCAGCCTAACCAATGGGCACCGGGGCTGTTTTCCCAGGATTAAACTGGGAGGGGAGGTGAAGTTGACCACTCACCTCCATCTATCTAGTGCTGAGATCAAGAAAGATACAGCTATACTTCCACTCTCCCATGTCTTCATGGCATAGTGTTTTAACTAATTAAGCATAGGGACTTTACCTTTCTGGAGTGAATATATTTNCGTTGCATCTCAATACGCGAGTCACACCTATCCTCTTCTGTCGGAGCACTCTTCCTACTTTCATGTGTGTATTGTGCTTTGTGTTGTGTCTTGCTCCTGTGACTGCGTGTGTTATACTGCTGGGCTTGCTGGGTATATATCCGATAGAAGAGGATAGGTGTGACTCGCGTATTGAGATGCAACGTAGGGATAAAAAATCCTGAACAGTTTTAATATTTTTAATGTTTAATATTTATCAATATATATGATGAACATATATTTTAGTTATTTTAGTATGAGGACGGCAAGGCATGCAGTGAAGTAGTTTAACGTAAATCAAAAAGCACTTGAAGATGGCACCTTTGTGCCGAAACATGTAGTGCAGGAGTGAAGAGTGAGGTGGACGAGTGTATGCACTGTAAGACGGCTGGAATAAATCATGGACATAAATCAGTGCAACAGGACGCTAAAATATAACATTAAAGAATATTTTTAGGTTTATTCAAAGCAGATGAAAAACAGGAATTCCATAGGATTTCATGGAATGGAGAAATACAGAAGCAAACAAAGCCAAGGAATACATTTGGGAAAAATCTGGATATTAAACAAACTCAGCCAAAATGAGCAGATTCTTAATTTTAAAAAGGAATGAGATAGAGAAACTTTTATTTGTACTAATTTGTAGTTTATATACAGCATCAAATGACTGGAAGATACTGTATAACATATTGGAAAGGATACAGAAGGAAAAAAGTGTGGCCTAACCTTAGGATACTATACTTGCATTTGTCTGGAGGGACTGTGGAAAACCATAAATAAATCAGGATAATCAAGTGTCCTCAAGATCTCAAATGAGCACCTCCAAAACACAAGTTGGAAGTGGTCACATTTGAATCAATCTGCTTGGTGAAAACAATATATGGAGTAGAAACCCAATGCATATAAAAGAATAAAAATTTCTGCAGTGGAACTAATATATGGAAAGGATGGTGAAATATGACAATATGACAAATTCACTCAACCAATACTGGAATGGGAATGGAATGACCAAATAGAAATTATAATGTACAGTGATGTGCCTCTGATGATGGTTGTGTTAAACCAAAACATGTACGGCAGAAGTGATAAAGAAGTGACCTACAAATTGTTACACTCGACGGACTTTCTATTGACTTTGTGATTGATAGTGTAACGGACCAAAAATGAAACAATTCAAAATAGTGATGTCTCAGTTGAGATCCTACATATACAAACTGTTAACTGCTCAGATTCCAATTTTATATAGCGCACTGCATAGTCTGGCTGCCAAAGGCTAAGGCTACCTGAAGCAGGCCTGATATTAGGACACAAGACGTTTGCTTCAACAGTAATGGTGGCAGATGTTTGGATGTTTAACCTCAAAAACCCATTTACACTCTAAGAGCATACATGTTTCAGCACCAAGTGCCATCATTAGTGTCCTGTGAGTTGAATAAGTATGCCAAATGAGCACTGCAGAATCTTACCCATTGTAACTCATAGTTGTCTAATAATTACATGTGTTACATGTTATCTAATGCCATGAAAGTTCTGGGCTAACCAATTCACTAGAAATTAACCTTATAGCTATCCCCATGAAAGGCCATGGAGGCCTGTAAGTTTGTGAGACGTCGAGGCTCCCACATTTTCTAGACAATAAGCTCACAGATGGTGGTGAGGTTATCAGCCTTATACACCGGCCACACTTTACCCCCAGGAAAATTCCTAGTACTCATCTCTGTCAGAGGCTGAGTCGACCTCAGGGCCACATTGCAGCTGGAAGGAATAGATGAACCGAAAAATCTGATGACCTTGAGATTCGAACCCTTGACCTTCTGGCTTGTAGCACAGTGCCTCAACCAACTATGTTCCTGATTAACTTTCTTTATGCTAGTGGGGTTGGACTAAGTCCCTTGTACTGCAGCCACTTCTGGCCTATTGTACCAGCCCCAGATGATAGGTGAGGGTGATTGTGGAACAATTGGTGGAATGAAGGTTGGCAGGGGAAACCGAAGTACTTGGAGAAAACCTGCCCCAGTGCCACTTT